GCTCACAGAGTTCAGGTAATTTTCCTTCTGAGGTGGAGTCTGTGGTCCCACTGCCCCATGAAGCCCCCATGTCTGTGCAGCCCATTCCACATCCCCTGCCCTGATCACAGTGCCCCCTGCTGCTCATCCAGAGAGTTACAGGGATTCCTGCACAGATCTCCTGCCTCAGTCCCTCTTCACTGACCCCTAGATGCTTCCTGACCCTCCTTCAGCCCTGTCACTCAGAGACTGATGTCTCCCAAAATTCACAATCTCACTAAATAGGAGTGATGACCACAGGACATGGCTATTATTGTTAATGCTATTACTACTGATGCTTCTCTGGAAGCTGATCGGGGATCCTGCCTCACACTTTCTCCATCCAGTTCTCACTTCCACCCCCAGGAGTTCTCACACCAGCCTCAGGGTTGCTGCATCACACGACTCCATGACGCTGCCTGGTGGTGTGAGGCGTCTGAGGAGATGGGGCTCGCCCAGACAGGGTCACAAGGGCTGGGGCTGGGGGCTGTCAGAACCACACCTTGTGTACAGTTCCTAAAAGACCCCAGGTTAAAATTCCTTGCAGTATCTAGGCCTGATGAACAAGGAAGAGTGGCTGTTTATTAGTGTCCACTCTGGCTGTGACAAGTAGACCTATGCCCTGGGAACCACTGTGACATTTTGCTGTCTAGATAAGAAGGTACGAAGCTGGGCTCCGAGAAGAGGATGAGGACTCCCTGGAGCTTCTCCCCAGTCTGACACCTGCTCCTAGGGGAGCATTCGATGAGGCCACTCCAGAATGAACAGACAGAGTTTTGAACAAGATGCTTCAAGTTATGGGGGATCCTAGACAGGGTGGATCATGTCCAGCTCTGGGGACTTCAGGGAATGAAAGTGAGTCTTTGAAGCTCAAGGTATACCTCAAGCCTGCACTACCTCCTGAAAGCAGGGTCCTCATAAGTCTCTTTGCAGTAAACAACTGGGTTTATTCCCTAAGCTCAGAATAAACCCACTTCTGCCACCTTGGTCCTGATTGTTCAGAACAGGCATCATGCACAGTTGGGATTGGAATGAGAGACATTTTTCTGCAATGACTTGGCATAAAACTCCATCTAAAAGGAATGCTCCATGTTCGTGTCACCAAATACATCTAATCAGATGCTCTCTGTGGCAGAGGTTGCTGGTTGTCCCTCAATATCCATCCTCCCTTTTCCTTAGTTATAAGGACCCTAAACACACAGGAACCCAACTGAAAGAGAGTTTACATTCTAAATTTTCAAGTTTCCCTTGCAGTTAAGTGAGGCCCCTTGAATATGTTTTGGCCAATAAGCCATAAACATCACTGTTGTAAGCTATTCTCAGGAAGTGTCCTGCATTCAAGAGAATCTTTCCTACCCCTCCTGTTCCTTCCTGCTGTCTGCTGGGTGGACATGTTGGTGCAGCCATCTTGGGTCAGGAGGAGGAGCCACAAGGATGGCAGAGCAACAACACTGAGGGAGCCTGGGCCCCTCACAACTGTGAAGCTGCCCAACTCTCCTAGGACTTTACACCACAAGACTCTACATAAGAGAGAAATACATATCTGTTTTTAAAGACACTTTGCATATTCCTGTTTATCACTTTCAACTAAACACAGTCCTAAACAACAGAGGCTGTTAGGGAGAACGTGAGCTGTGAGGCATGCAGACTGGATGTTTTCCTCTTTGATGTGGTCCAGACGCCCCTTGCTCAAGCTGAGGCTTTGCATAATTTCTAGGCAATTAGAAGCAAGAGACCAGACACCTGTTAACCACAAGTTCCTGCTTTAGAGTGCTGGGGACTTCCCCAGACCCACCACAGGCACAGGAGCAGTCGGGCTTAAGCTCCAACTTATAGTAAATTTTCTGCATTTTAATAGTGAAAATGGCATTCATGGGTAAGATTTGAAGTGCTACTGCTGCCCACAGTGCATGAAGAAGTATGTGAAGCTACCGTGCAGGCACTAGAAACACCCTCCTCTATGTGCTTTGACATAACCCTTCCCTATAGAAAAGTCTGATAAAACCAATCCCCTCACTACCCTCATTCAGGGAGCAGCCTGAACTTTTCCTTTCTCAGTGCTTGCTTCCTGGTGCACAAGCTAAATAAACTTTTTTCTTGCTGCTATATCTCGTGATCTCTCTTGATTTCTACCCTGGGTGGTTGCAAGAAACCAGGGACTTCAGTTAGAGCTGGGTGTATCCACTACGGTCCTTGTAAGTGAAAGAGGGAGGCAGGACAGTCAGAGTCAGAGAATTAGAAACAATGACAGAGACAAAGTTTGGAGTGAGGCAACTTGGAGATGAAGGCAGGGCCACAGCCAAGAAATGTAAGAGGGCCTAGAGCTTGGAAATAAAGGACATGGGTGCTCCCCTGGAGGTCATGCAATTGGGGTGTTTCTGAACAATTTATGAAAGCAGCTTAAAATGTTTATGGGACTTTAAGTAACCATGTTTGTAAATGTTGATAGTTTTTTCAAAAGGAGTTTTGTCTATTGACAGTTATTTGTTCCACCTGTGATTATTAGAACTTTAGAACCATTAGAACAGCAAGACCACCCTTACTTTTGAGAGTTCTCCAGGAGAACTAACAGAACTCGCTGAATGTTGTTATCCTTGTCTTATGGATTGTCCCGGCAAAAGGATACAGATTAAAGTCAGCCCATGGAAGAAGAGCATGGAGCAGAATCCAGCGGATTCCAAATGGGGAGTTCCCAGCTGTCCTCCACCAGGGGAACCACAGACAGCGTCACCTCCTCCTGACTCTGCTGTGTGATGACATGTGTAGACTATTGCCAACCAGGGTAACCCCCTCAGCCCTGGTGTCCAGGATTCACATTGTTCTTTTCACATAGACGTGGGTGACTGTCCCAGGACTGGCCTTTGTCACCAGCCCAGAAGCGATGGAGTTGACACCATGTTGTTACTGAAAGTTCAGCACTTGTCCCTGAGTCCACACCAGAGGAACAAGGACAAGTGTTTTGAGGAAAAGGAAAGAGAAGTTTATAATTTGCCAGCAAATGAGGAGAACGGTAGACGCTCATCTTACGGTACCATTGTCCTATCTAACAGTGGAAATACAGAGCTTTGAAAGGAGTTTTCAGCTTGGCACGATTGCCAAGGTTTTCATGTAGGTTTTAATTCCTCAAAACAGTGGATGCAGTTAAAAAGACAATTCATAAAACATTTTACCCCTTTTCAGGCCTTTCCCTCTGCTACAAGGTGACCCAGGTCCTCACCATCAATCACATTGGCAGACCATCTGGTGGAGCCCAAGGCTCTCAGGTAAACAAAGACTCTCTTACCAGCCAGCACATTCCAGGGGCTTAGAAGTTCCCTCCCCGCAGCTTAGAGCGAAAACCAGACCTGTCCTTGGGCAGCATGTAGTTCTTTACTACAAAAGTCCATCCTCAGGTGTAGATTCAACTTCCTCTGACTCTATTTGGCTTTAAAGTTTGAACAGGCCTAATAGAGAAGGAAATTTAATGATACGATTCCACTTTGGTAAAAAAATGCTTATGTGCCTAACTATACTGTTTATAACATACCAAAACTGAAAAGATACATAGAGACAGCACTGGATGTATCTCTGGGTGATCAAATTGTTACAGGTGATTTTAAAAGACAGTATCCATTAAATTTTAATAACTAATTTTATATAAAAATGTTTTTATAAAAATGAAACACAAACACGTTCCCAAGCACAGTCTGAAAGATTTTGTTGATTGAACATTCCTGAGTTGCTCTCTCTTTCTCTGTATCTGTCTCTCTCTATCTCAGTTTGCTTTCTTTTTTTTTTTATTTCAGCATATTACAGAGCTAGAAATGTTTAGGTTACGTATATTGCCTTTGCCCCACCCCAGTCAGAGCTTTAAGAATGTCCATCCCCCAGACGGTGCACACTGCACCCATTAGTGTGAATACACCCATCCACTCCTCCCCCTCCCATCTGCCAGACACCCGATGAATGTCACTACTATGTGCACTTAAGTGTTGATCAGTTAATACCAATTTGATGGTGAGTACACGTGGTGCTTGTTTATCCATCTTGTGGTACTTCACTGAGCAGAATGGGCTTTCTGTATCTCACTCAGCCCATGTCTCTTTTTGTGTCTCTATATCCTTAGTCTTTCTCTCTGTGTCTCAGTGTCTCTCTCCCAGGTCTCAACAAGCCTACCATCATTGCATCTGTGCACAGCTCAGCTCCTCCTACCTCCCTCCCATCTGCAGGGAGCACACACGCCCTTTGCTCCCAATCCCAGCATCACCCCTGATGGTGGATTTCAGGATGAGCCTAAAGCCCCAACAGCAGGGAACAGGTTATAGACACTCAGTTCAGGTGTGTAAGAGCAGGCCCTGTGGCCATTCAGAATGGCCACGGAGAATATTGAATGATGTTGGAAAATGGCACACTGTTGAGGAGAAAAGAAGCAATTTGCAACAGGACCAGGCAAATTAAAAATTGGGCCAGCCAGGCACAGTGGCTCATGCCTGTAGTCCCAGCACATTGGGAGGCCAAGGCAGGAGGATCTCTTGAGGCCAGAAATTAGAAGCTGCAATGAGTTATGACTGCACCACTGCACTCCAGCCTGGGTGACAGAGTGTGTGACACTATCTCTAAACAAAATAACAAACAAAAATTGGGTGAAACACTGAACATGACACTCTTATCTTTGTTGTGCTTTTTCATATTTCCCAGTATTTCCAATATTGAGCCTGTGTTGTTTTCTTAATAACCAGGAAAAATATTAATAGCATAAATAAATGTAAAAATAAGATGAATAATAAATGAAGGTGCCATAAAGATAAGGGCCGACTCCCAAGAGCCCTGTTCCCCCAGGCCACACCCCTGCTGGTCAGAGTCCACCTGGGAGGAAAGGCCGCCCTGGAGGGCTGGGGAGACACGACCAGAAGCCTCTGGGCCCCGAGACCCAGGTCTGTGAAGGGCAGAGGGGCGGCCACGTCTCTGGGAAGACCCACCTCCTGCAGGACCCCAGGCAGCTCATGGACCTTTCCAGCCCCAGGTGCAGCCTGCGGAGGGGCCTCTTGCTCGTGGGTAAGAGAGCACTGACCGCCTTGCCAGGGCCGAGGGAAGAGCAGCTGGGAGCAGGGGTGGGAAGGGGCTAGGACCACCCCACCTAGGGGCACAGCCCACACTCCTGGGGCAGGGGTGGGGGGAGGGGAGAAGGACAGGGCCCTCACCAGGACTTTCATGGGCTCAGACACCTGGGCACAGCTCACCATAGACACAGACCTGCACACACCCACAGACGTAGCATCACACACACTGACACACACACACCTGCACACAGCTGCGTGAACAAGGGCACACACACACACACACACACACACACACACACACAGAGGGACACACGCAGCACAAACACATCGTTTCCATCCTCCCCCAGAGCAATGAGCTTGGACCCCCACCCTCACCCCATGCGTCCCCGTGTGCTGAGATGCCCTCCCCAACCTCTCAGGCCAAATCTCCTCCCAACCCTTCACCTTCCCCAGGGCCCCCATCCCCCCGACATGCTTCAGTGGCCGCCACAAGCACTGTCTCCGGAATGTCCCATGTCCACAGCCCAAGGCCTGGAGCCGGGGCCTTGAGTCAGCTCTGCCTCTTCTGCACATGCGGCACTTGGTGTTCACAGAGCAGAGGACCCTGGCCTCTGTCTCAGGTGGCGGCGGGTTCCTACCCACTCCCGTGAATTTGATACCAAATCGCAGACATATGTGGACAGGCTTAGGGGAGGATTCATCACCAGACAGTCACTGCTGAACGCTGCCCCTGCCTTCTGCCCTGTGCTCAGGGCTGCTGGGGACTCAGTGGTGACCAACATGGCCAGGCCCTGCCCTCCTGGAGCTCTCAGTCCAGTGTGACATGCGGATTTGTCACCAGACCCTGATGTCTCCCAGAGGACAAGGCTGGGAGGAAGGGAGCTCAGAGAGGCCGCCTGACCCGGGCTGGGGAGGAGGAGACAGCAGAGATGAGAACTGAAGGATGAGTAGAAGTGAGTCACAGGAGGATGCAGATGCAAACAGGGAGCAGCAAGCAGGGAGCAGTGTGTCAGGAATGGGGAACAGAATGAGCAAAGTCTGTAGCAAGGAGGGAGTGTGGTGCATCAAGAGAGCTGTACGTACGATGGGGCAGAGAGTGGAAGTCACGTCTCCTGATAAAGAAATCCAAGGATGAATAAATGGATGAATGAGGGAGTACATGGTACAGATGGGACGGGGTAGGTTGGTTGAAAAGGAAGCCAGATGAGTCATAAAGACCAGCTCTTGCAGAGAGTGTCTCCTAGGCCAGCCTAAGAGTTGGAACTTTACCATAAGAGCACTGGGGAGCCATGGAAGGTACTAGAGCAGAGGACGGCAGAGTCACACTTGGGTTTTAGTAAGATCTACCTGACTGTCACATAAGGATGGATTGGGGGCTGAGTGGCCAGGGAGAGAGTGGGCTGGGAGAGGATAAGGACAAAATGGACCAGAGCAGGGGGTGAGGGGATGGAGGAAGGGACAGGCTGAGAGTCCTCCATGAACTGGGAACTCCTGCTTGTTCACCAGTGTTTCTGGGACTCAGTGCCTGGATGGTGTGGATCTATCCACGTGTTTTTCTCTTTGTCTTCCTCAGCCAGTCTGCTGGCCTGTGGCATCTGCCAGGCCTCGGGCCAAATCTTCATCCCCCACGTCCAAGGGGTCCAGGGATATTCGAGTGTCCTGGGCCTAGAGAACGCCCCCGAGGATGCCCAGGAATACCGCTGGTACCGGGGCACACAGGACAGCGCAGAAAGCATGATTCTCAGCTACAAACCTCCCAGTCCCCTGGAGCCTGGGCCCGTGTACAGCGGCCGGGAGAGAGTGACCAGAACCGGCGACTTGGTGGTCAGGAACTGCATGCTAAACGACACAGGAAACTACACGGTCCGGGTGGACACAGGCAACGACACCCACACGGCAACTGGCTGGCTCGAGATCCGAGGTGGGTTGGCAGGCTGCCCACATCCCACTCAAGGAGGACTGGACCTGAGGGCCTTGGTGTCCTCGTCCAGGTCCTCCGCCCACCTCCAATGACATGAGCTTGGCTCGCGGCTGTACAGCGTCTCCTACAGACACGGGTCACTGCCACCTTTAAAAATTTCAGTGTCTGTGTCAGATAGTGATTCGATTTCTACCTCTGTGTGACAGATAGCCCCCAACGTAGCAGCTTAAAACAACACCCATATCGCACAGTTTCTCGGGGTCCAAAGTCCCAGCATAGCTGAGCCCCAAGTCTGGGCGTGGCTTAGCTGGATCCTCTGCTCTGAGTCTAAAAATCACTGGCTTGACCTATGTTCTCATCCGGAGCCTTCATTAAGTAGGAAAGAATCTATTTCCAGGCTCATTCAGGTTGGTGGCCCAAATAACGTCGCTCTGGCTGTGGGATTGAGGCCCCGCTGGCTGCTTCCCGATAGTTGGTTGGAGGCTCTTGGGATCCTGAAGCCACCGCGTGACCTGCCACGTGGCTCTGTCCTTGGTATTTCAGATCATGCCTGTCCCTTCCTTCAAGGCCAGCTAAGTGTCCTTCTCTAGTCTGGTAAGACGGAGTGTCACACTAAGAAGGTAGTGATGAGAGTGCCGTTCATGAACCTCTGTCATGCTAGGCTAGAAGCCAATCGTGGGCCCCACTCACACTAGAGAGGGGAGGACTGTGCAGGGGTGAAGGTCCTGGCGCCATCCTGGAGTCCTGTCTCCTGCAGACAGCTCCTGGGCTCCACGGGCCGGGGGAGGAGAGGGTGGACCTTAAGAGAAGATGTCCTGTATTTGCTTCAGACTCCCTAAGCTGGTCACTTACTCTGTGAGCCTCAGTTTCCTCCTCTGTGAAGTTTGAGAAATGTCTACCATTGAAGTTTGTGGCAAGATTGGAGGGAATATCCGTAAAGTGAATAGGACTCCAGTATTGGGTCATTTATGATGTATCATTCAAATGCCACCTGGATCCTCCAATGAGGGTTCCTGGTTTCGGGGTTCAGAAATAACCATCAGGTCACGTGTCTGTGGGAAGAGCCCACGATTATTGAAGCTGACACAGAGCGGTGTCCCAGGAAGGACCCCCACCTCGGCAGCCCCACTGTCCACTCCCTTCCCCTCTGCCCCTCAGCTCCAGCCTGACCCTTCCCAAGACCCAGACCTCACTGTTGGGCTGTTGGCTTCTCTCCAGCATGCCCCACCCCCCACCCCCCGTAGAGGAACAGAGCGCAGGGAGGCAGACCCCACCCCTAATCTGCCCTCTTCCTGTTTCTCCCAGTGCTAGGGAGCAACCCGGGCATCTCAGTCAACGCCACCTCCCTGGTGGAGAGCATGGATTCCGTGGCCGCCTACTGCCACACCAACGTCACCAGTGTCACCTGGTACTTGAATGCTGTGCCGACATCCAGCAGTAACCGGATAAGCATTTCCCCTGACGGAAAGACCCTCGTCATCCTCAGGGTCAGCCGCTATGACAGGACCCTGCAGTGCGCGGTGGAAAGTTACCCTGAGGTCGTCCAGAAAAGCGAGGAGGTCGCCCTCACTGTGGCCTGTGAGTGACCTGGGGTCCTGGGAATCAAGCCAGGGTGGGCTCGGGGCCTCCCAGGAACAAAGTGACAGGCCAGGCAGACCTGGAGAGAGGTCCGTTCTGGGCTGGCCTGGGGCCAAGTTCATCTGCAAGGAATCCCAGCAGGGCTTTCTGGCTCCGTGGCCTGGGAACCTCCCTTCCCACCCAGAGCCACGGAGCACTGGATTGAAAATGGGGAACCCCGTCCCCACTTCTCAGATTGGAAATGGTCAGTGTGGGTTAGATGAGATTGGGCTTTGTGTCTAGAGGGGACTTCTTATAGCCACTGTCTCTTAAATCAATACTCAATTTATTAAGTTTTTTTACTATCCTACTTTCCCTCAAGCCTTCAACTTCTGGTGGGTGATTTCTTTATTCTGTTCTTCTAAATTTAGGAAAATCATCATAATTTCTTCTTTCCTCAAACGGAACTGACTACTTACACAATTTGACCTAAAGACGTGATGATGCATCCCACACTTTCTCCTTCCTTTGTGCCTCTCCTGCTGCCAGCCAGACAACTTCACAACCCAGAAAGAGCTGCTCAAAGTGTCCAGCAGTTCTTCTCAATCTAACGCATTGAACTTACAACTCTGAGACCCCGATTCTTTCCAATGTTCCATGACTCTTCACAGAGAGTATGGAACTCTTTCCCATCTTTCAACTTAAAAAAAAAAATTGCAAATCTAAAATCATTTTCACACCTCCATCTGCCACCATTGTCATGGTCCCTCAGTTTTCCTAATTAGCAGGCTATGGGGACGGGCCCACGGGAGCCCAGGTAGAGGTGTGGACGATTTCTGACCCCCATACAGCGGTTGGCAGGTCAGAGGTTTGGAATCAAGACCCGGGATGCAGAGTCTGCGGCTGTTCAGGACTTGCTAACCCTTTCCTCTCACTAGGGGACTGAGACCCTAGTCCTCTCCTCTGAGCCTCATTTTATGCACCTATAAAAGGGATCAGTTAGTGGAATGGTCACATGAGCTGCCGCGGGGATTGAAGCTGTGTGGGGACGGAGCTCAGAAGAGTGCCGCCACCTGGTCGGCCCCACTGGCTTGCTCCCACCCGCACCTCATTCAGGGTGGGCAAAGGGCGGCCTTGGGCTGATCACGAAGATGCTCTCGTTGTCGCTATTGCGGCTGGCACAGTGGCCTTGCCTGGGGGGTCTAGGTCAGCTCGGGGTGCAGAGTGAGGGCCCCTCTTGGCTGGGGAAGGACTTCATGTGGACTGAGGGAAGGAGACGGGGCCCTGCGGGGTCAGAAGCAGCTCCGGGCCTCCTGCCCTGTCCCCGCAGATGGGCCCGACAACGTGGAGCTGTGGGGCTCGCCCGACATCTTCAATGGCA